GAGCAACTTAGACAATTAAAGAAACTTTTTGTTGTTAACTGGTATGTGGAATGCTTTAAAAACATAAGGCACGATAATTTGGTAATCGGTGTGAAATGGTGCAAAGGTGCTATATGGTGGGGAAAATGGCGAAAAGCGAAGTGAAACGGTCCAAAGCTACAAAAAAGCCGTTTGTTCTACACGATTCAGAGAAGCAATTTAGGACGAGTTCCTCGTTGGCATCGTGCCAATAACCGCTACGGTAGATACGGCTGCATATGTGTACTCATATATCCATGCAGCACCGCAGCCGCTTCATATCAATCCCTTCGCTTCATATTTTACTTCGCAAATGAAGCGATACGAGCATCAGCATTGGTCGGACATTTGTGGGCGGGCGGCGCGGTGGGCGTCCGGGTCGGTATGTTGCAGCTTGATAGGGCGCTATAAGGGTACCTTCCTTGGAAAAGGCGCCACGCAGCGCCTGCTCAAGGGCGCTGAATTCTGTCCTGCTAGGTGTATTAATCCTACATTTCTCAAGGATTTATCGTGCCTTCAATAGACAGGCCTTTGGTCGCAAAAAGTGTGCCACTTCCGTCACTGAATGTGCAGGACTCGCAACCACTGCACTTCGTACCCTTATTGCCTACACGACAACAACATGCCTCTGCATCCCTTGGCTAGAAGTATCGTAATTGTGGACTTACTGAAAGCCATCTCGAGGATCTCTGATCCTTCCCTACATTAAATCAAACTAGTCAAGTTTCAGGCCAGGTTCGTTCAGCGTCATTAGGTTTATAATTTAAGCAGTGAATCTTTTCGCTGGCAGGAACCAGCAACTGCTCCAATACCATCGCCACTTGCTCCACTAACAAGTCCGCAACAACGACTCATCTACCTCCTCGATAAAGAGTGTACTCGGTGATTTACCGCGCCTTTGTTGCCTGCACCGTCGTGGGACAATTTCACATGCTCATCATGAGGATTGCTCGGCAATTGAGTATTGCTGAAAAACTAGGAGAATCGGGGTGAAGGTGAAACTCTTTTCGGAGCTCCACAGGACCTTATTTAACTTTACAAAATCTTTCGGTACGTTGTCAGAAGTTTACGAAATACCCCTCCACATGCTAGCTGTCATGTACCTATTTTCCAGCTCATTGCTTTCTCGTGGGTCAAGCTTGTACGCGCGGAAGCAAACATTCTCCTTTCCTCCTTCAATGATAGCTCAACAAGAATGTTCTGTTGGCAGAGATATGTGAGCATCAAGTGCAGAAAGAATAAAGATCGCGAGTTACCGGTAGCATAGTTGAGCGGTTTCAGAGAAAGGCAGCAAAGTGCCGAACATAAAATAGCGGAATTGATCCAATTGATAATTAAAAGAGAACTGAGTTCACCTTAGTGTGACGTGAGAGAGAACGCTAATTTCCCATCATTCAAGGGCAAAAGTAAAACAAGATTCATTGTCTCGACACTCTTAAATAGCACAGGTTTCATAGCAACTGAAAAAAATCGCGTGTTGGAATGTGTTCGGCAAAGGGAACCGTCGACAGGTGGGACGACTGAGAGAGACAACGTTCCACAGATCTTTCGAAAGTTGGAGATCTTCGCAATGATGTGATGTGCTGACCGTGCATGTTCTTCTTACATACACGGACAGGGGAGCAGCCTTCTGCTGTGTAGCTGGCCGTGTTCGATTTGACGACTTTGCTCTAGTCGACCTTCTTCTGGCTGAAGACTAATAGACTGGAGATTTGACAAAGAGTCGCGGAGTCGACAGGAATATAAGGGAGGTGGTGGCGATGATGAGAACGGTGAAGAGGAACAGTGATAGCCGGTCGATAACCATTGCCATGAACTTCCAATCCGCTTGCAAGTCAGAGTCGCGATCCTCCTCGTCCAGCCGATCCTGAACATGGAAATTATGGTTTATCATAAATAAAACGCTTCGAAAAAGACCTTGAAGGCATTCAGCAGGACGATTATCTCTCGAATTCCGGCTTCGATCGAGTCGTCCATCGCAAAACTTTCCGAGCTCCGAATGAGATGAGGCCGCAAAGCTGGAAAAGAAATTCAATCATAGTCGATTATTACACCACCAGCCTGGCTGACGCGCATTACCGCATTACTGATAACTGACAGGATTTCTGTGCTGAGCACTAACACTTAGCCTAATTCATGCTTCGAAAACGGCCCATTTCATCATGTTTCTCCCTTTCAATGAACATTTGCCAATGTTTGGTGCTTATCATATTTCTGAAAGCACCATTGGAAATAGGACAGCATAGCGGTTGGAAGAATTCCGATGGTAAAAATATCGAAATCATAGTGGCTCTTATCATTCCTCACTGGCCAACATTCTAGAAATTTTCCGAAACTCGAGCGTTTAGCGGTGGAAGCAATTCCGACCGCTAAACTGAGGGATTTTGCTAAGGGAGAAACATCTTGACTCACTAAGCCTTCGCCCATTGATTCTTTGGCCACGGTGATGTGAGCATATACGGACTCCCAAAAGCCCTTGTCGGACACTGTCAGAATTTATCTCCCACCTTTAATGTTCCCTAAGCACCTCTGAATTACTTGCTGGAGCAGTTCCCCAGTGTTGCTACAACTCTGCTGTGAATTTCGGGGCTATCTTATCAGCTGTTATCACTTCCTGCCACCCACCAATAATGTTCCCATCCTGCCCCCTATCTTGGAACCAACGTCGACCGACGCTGTGACGCACGTTATGGATTTTGCAACCCCCCTTCTATAGGTCCCGGATTTTATCTTATCCGCTCTTGAATCATGCTCCGAGTTCACCACTAATACTGTTCCCATCCTGCCATACTTCCCTATTTCTTGAATCAACTGTCCCTATCGTTGCTGTGGCCGTCCTACTGAATCTTAGTGACGCCTCTCTTCTAAGGCTGTCTTAATTTTATCTGCATAAAGTCCTATATCTATTCTGCTCTACTATAGTGCCCTGCACTGAACCTCCCTAACACTATATAGTGCTCTTATCACTTCCTGCCCCCTACCAATAGTGTTCCTGCACGACCTCCTATATCACTTATCAGTTTGAGCGCACTATCGCTGTTTTGAAGGAAGTTAAGCTATGAATTTCCGGTCAAACACACATACACACGTACACATATACACATACAGACAAACTTAGCGGATTATATATAGTAGGATAGAGCCTCAAACTACTGATACTACCAAATATGTCGGCAAAACAGGATAGCGTTCATATAGGATAAACGGATGTTTGTGCCAAGTATGAGGCGGGTCGGGATAGTAGGATTACGACAAGACAGCGGATGTGGCTTCAAGCGTAGCGTTAGCATCAAGAAAGGTGCCGTTCCCAGTCGAATCCCCTTTATTTCTATCCGAAAATTGGGGGAGGAGCATATAACTGCGCACTTCATCTGAACAATGTGCTGTATGGGCTTTCGTAGGGTATTTCCAGTTGGGACAAGTGTCTCCTATCTTGAGCTGCACAAGAAGATGATTACAATTGCTCAACAGGGAATATCCTTCCAGAAGCGTAGCAACCAGTATCCAAATGAGAAGCGCGGATATGCCCATCCCACACTTCAACCTTCGGGACAAGTCTGCGTGTGGACTGGAGCAGCATGCACAACTGCTCTAGCCTCTGAACCTTTTCAGATACATCCCCCTTCGAACATTTGCACTGTTGGTCTTTATACTCTCAACCTGCTAGGAGGGATACAGTACCTTCAGAGGCGCTATCTGAAAAAGGGCATCTGGAAAGGCCAAGAAGCCGTGGAATTAAAGCGGCCGCGTGCTCGTATTGAACGCGATGACATCCGCTTGGCCTGAAATCTTTTGGCGCCCGCACAGGCGCAGGGCCTCCACAATCGCCCAACGGATCACCTGTAAAGGGGTTGAAAGATTAAGGCCTTAGTTCATGAGGGGGCGTGCTTTCAAGGATGGAGCGAAGGGGTACATGTAATAAACAGTGCTTGGCCTCCCAACACCTTCCTCGAGACTACGATCCATTCCTCTGCTAAGGCTGAGCCTTAGTTAAGGGTAATCACTATCACAAGTAATCAGAAAGGGTGCTGCTTTTTCTCCTAATCTCCGCAACTGCCCTAGCACACCGCTAGGCACGAAAACTACCGGAGTCCGTGACGGATGTATCGGACGATTTCAGACTAAAGGGATAGGTTATTTGCATGGGGAGGGGGGCCAAACTACCTCAGGGAACAAGTTCAATGAATTTAGTGATCTAGGGTATTTTGGCGCTGGATCCCGCAGCGCCAATGGCAGGAGTCTTGCAGTAATGGCAGCAAGGGACTGGTTCGTGTTTGTAGGGTTAATACCCTTGGGCCTAATTTCCAGCCAAATTGCCCCTTATAGGAAAAAAAACTTGGTGAAAGGCCCGATTTTGGTGAACTGAGGTACTAATCGTAAGTAGTGAAGACTGACTCTACATGTAGATCATTCCGGCGACACACGAATATTCTTGACTGATATGACGCCAAAAAAAGCCACGTTGGAAGCGAACGCACTAGAGGCTAAAAGTGGCCGCGCTAACTGCCATCAGTCGGCGTTGGCGAGATCCAGCATTTCAACAGACATTCCTTTTTTCAAAAGTTTACTCTTCCACGAGCCAAGTCAGCAGTCGATATCAGCTAATGTCGATTTAAGCGCAGTATTCAGCTGTCATATGGTGAGGCGCTCAAACGCAATTAACGAAACTTGGCGCCAATTGAACCTATTCTACCCAGCATCAAAAAAACTTTTCGTGGTAAACGTTGCCTATAGGTGTAGTCGGGCCTGATTACGAATAGTAAATCTTGTTTCAGCCTGGCGTCAGTTGGCGCATATGCCCAATTGGGCGACGACACACTTATTTACCAAAGTGTCGATGAAAACTTGCATATGAGGTCAGTTGACGGTCCTGATTACGAAATCCAACATTTTATTTTTGGGGCTGTGCCGCCATTTACGCGCCAATTTATGCGCGTGAAAGGGCCAGCGTTTCCCATGTTGACTATTCGTGGATCAGGACCTCAATTAACCCCATATGCAAGTTTTCATCAACTTTGGTGACTTTGGTGAAAAAGTGGTGGGCGCCAAATTGGCGCATAATGGCGCCAAATGACGCCAGCGCTCAAAACGGATGTGATATTCGTGATCAGCGCATCGAATTACATCTATAGGCAACGTTTCAGCGAAAAAATTTTTTGAGTTTTTTGGGGTAGGAATAGTTCAATAGTGCCAGGAACTTTGTAGGAACCCATCCTCTTAACTGTTCTCGGCTGAGTCTCGAGTCTGTTTTCTCCAGAAACCTACCTTTGACTTTTTCCAGGCTAGGGATTCCTCCATTCAGAAGTCGAGTACTCTGTTCGTCGTCTATCAACATCACATGCTTACCAGCAGTTTTTCGGAAGGGCTGGAATTGTTATTCAGGAGGAGCGTATAAGCAGAGATCACAGAAAATCATTTTCGAGCAGGTTACCACTTCATTTCAGATCTTTGAAAGAACGCACCTCCATGAATCCTGGTCGATGTCACGTGTGGGTAGCATGGGCCCGCTGTTGCTGTAGCGTGCCATTTTCTCCTGTCAAATGTGCACGGGAAAGGGGCCCGGGCGCCTTTAACATACTCTGCCTGCGTTAGGCAGGGCCAGCCACATGCCTAACTACGGCCTAGCGCGCTACTTCTCCGCCCCTCTCACTTCTGGTTGTTCCCCACCACTAACTATTATTTCACCATTATTTATTTATTTTCCACCATTATTTCGGTGCGAAATCTTGGTATAGACGCAAGTGCTCTACGTTGAGGACAGCGTGGGCGCAGTATGGAGACGGCATCACTGCAGTTAAGCCCTGCTCCAGTACACTTTTGAGGAGAAATTTTTCAGTTGTTCTGTGCCTTACGAGGTTGATAGGTGGAACATTTATTAAGTGGCCTAACGTTTCGACTCAATCGTCGTCTTCAGAGGCCTGAACATGTTTCAAGTTTTAGATTCGCAACCTACCCCACCAAGCGCCTCGTCGAATCTAGCGGTTCCGACGTAGGGTCAGGAACCCTCGAGAAGACGCCAGTACGCAAGAAGCAGACTCACCGGTTGTTCCGCCGTTAGGCCACTTAATAAATGTTCCACCTATCAACCTCGTAAGGCACAGAACAACTGAAAGACTTACAACTAAGATGCCGAGGTTGCAAGAAGAGAGAAGCTGGAGAATACTTTGAGGAGAAAATTGGCATGCTACCGCAACTGCGGACTCAATGGCTGACATTCATACCGGAAAAGGAAGAACAGTCGTATAACTTCG